ATGTGCAAGGTGATATCTACGTGGAGGAGACATGATTGGGATTTTAATGGCTCATTTTTTGGGGTCAACAGAAGTACCAAACATGAGATAGATATTTCAAAGAACGAGGCCTATTTCGAATAAGCCAATTCATTTGGGACTTAAGCCTTACTATTTACATGCCACCTAGATGGCTGTATATGGAATTGCATTGAAGATGCTCAAAGGGTTAAATTGAGTTCCTTAGATAGCTCTATCTGTTGGGAAAAAATCCTACAAATGCAAAACAGAAACAAAAAACAAGCCAGAGTAGAGAAAAATGCCAGTTAAACTTGGTTCGGCAAACCTTCGGAGATTACAGAGAATCTTGATTTGCATCGAGAAAAAAAATTGTTGACTCACTTTGGATTTTGCTGAACCATTTGCATTGGACACTCTGTTGAAGTGAGAACAAGGTTTCTTGATGACAAATTTCCAACTGCCAAAGTTACTTTTAAGTATGAATGTGATAGATCCGTAATCCGATTGACATATCAGAGAAGCTACAAAATGAGTAAGGGCAGTAAAGGAATTAACCAAGGAGAGGAAGGCACATGCTGCAGTGCACGATTATTGAATCTGTTAGGAGTAACTGAGAGGCAAAACCACTTATAAACAGAGGTATTGAGCTCTGGAATGGAAGGCAGAAATTGGTAGACACTTGGGAGAGAATTGGCCTCTCGAAAAGCCAAATACCTTTGTTATTTTTATCTTTCCTTGTTTAGTTTTCAGATTAAAATACCTGTTTTCCTAGAGCAGATGTATTTCCTAATATTCAGAAATAGAAATCAATATTTTGTTTGAGATCATATTTCCTGTCCAATGTCTTACAATTGCTCCTAATTGTGGTTAGTGAAGTGAAATTGCAGCAGGTATCTATCAGAATGATGTGTCCACTGGCTTCTAGCATGCCACAGATATTCAAGTGTTGACAACAATAAGGATTGAAGTATCAGAATAATTTCTTTCTTGGTGCATTACCCAATTATCCATGTGATTTCCATCCTGAGTTTCATTCTTATTGATATTTGGTCAGCATCTTATGTAGGAACTGGATATATCTATTTTCTTTCTGTTGCTCAATTTAAGGAAAAGACAAGCAACCAGAGACAAAATCCAATCAAGGGTACATGTTTGCCCAAAATGCATCTTGGAATAGTATTTTGTTGGAGAATATGTTGTTAAAATATAAGGAAAAGTTTTGGGTTTGCGTGTAATATTATTTTATTGAAAAATATGTGGTTGAAAATAAGAGGGTGAAAATTATAACTTGGAAATAATGAGGACCAAACAAAGTCTTAAAAACAAAACAGAAATTAATTTCTACAAGGAAAAAAATTGAAAAGTAAATACAATAACAATACAGCAATCGGAACTTGTGTAAATACAGTGTCCCTTAAAATAGATTCTTCACCTCAACGTTAGTACTTGAGGTTTCGTTGAGTGTTTGTCTCCTATAATACAATAAAAAAATAAGTAGAAGCGTAGTCAGTTTCTTCATTGATGAACTAAATATGTATTTAACATGATGACCAAGGACCCGACCTATCACCTGTGCTATTTACATTGATGAAGAGCACCTGACCTTTTCTGGATGGATACTACCTTACAGATCTCGAAGGAGCCGTTAGAGAAATTGGTTTTGTCTATGTGCTTATGTTCGCAAAATTATTTCTTCTCGATTTTAAAACCCACCGCAAGTGTACGGTTCGTTAACAAGTAGTAAAGTGGACTATGAGTCCAAGTATCGTTCCCACGAGGATTAAATTAGCTCTAATTAAACTAATGTGACCTCAACCGAATCTAATTAAATGAAATTTTGGTTTAAATGTGAAAACCCTAATTTTGGGAGAAATCCCCAATTCGAAACCCTAATTGCAAAGAAAACCCTAATTTCAAAATTGGAAACCCTAATTTCAAAATTTCACTAATCTAATGAAATAAATACGCAACTGAAATATAAATATGCAATTTTAGAATTATTGTATTGAAATGAATTGAAATGAAATCATTAAGAACTTGAATCCCCAATTGACTATTAAAAACCCTAATTTCACAAATTCAACGAATCGATGAACAAAATGCCAATTCAATGTTCCTAAATTATCCAATACACTCTCTCGATATATATTGAATATATTCTTACACACCACCAGCCTATATTTCTATGGATGATGCAATGTATAAGAATGCATGACTTTTTATGAACATTTTCATGAATTGCATAAAGCATAGAGGTAAGTTTCCATCCCCTATCGGACCCTATGTCGATTTATATTCTATCGAATTTATTCCCCTTCTTTCGAATGCAAAGAACAAATCATCTACAATCACATAATAATTGGCCAAATAATTATGGAAACATTCAAATCATATAAATCAAACACTCCCTGGTCGTTCCTCTCCTTCATATGATGAATTTTGGTATTTATATCGCGTCCAAATTAAGTAGGAAAGGAGTTTCAACCAAAACGAAAAACTGCGCCCGAGATTCAAAAATTCTTCTATGCGACCGCATAGAAGGAATCTATGCGGTCGCATAGTTCAAATTGTTTGGGCTCATTGAGTCCCTGGAGCCTTCTATGCGACCGCATAGAAGGTTACACTATGCGGTCGCATAGAAGTAACCATCTATGTGGTTTGTTCAATTTGGTCCCTGAACTTCTTTGTTGCATCTCTTGACTTCTTTCTTCGATTTTTTCATCTTTTCAACAAATTTTATCTTCCAATTGATGATTGATACCATCAATTCTTATGCCCCTCATTCGGCATATCTTTTGAGTATTTGCGCTTTAGTCCTCCAACTTTCAATTGTCTTCATTTCAGTCCCTCTTCAATATTTTCTTCTTCCAGTTGTTTTGCTTTGTCATTGAGCTCATACTTGGCATGTCTTCCCTCTCGTTTTGCATTTAGCTCAACTTTTCAATATTTGCACCTTTGGTCCTCGAACTATCAAATTGTTGCGTTTTGGTCCTTCTTCAGCTCTTTTCTCCTGAATTCCACAATTTCCATTGAATTACCTACAATGCATAAATTTAACTGGATTAAGTCACAATTCAACCATTTTATCCATATTTAAGTCATGTTTATGATCCAAATAAGTGTGTAAAAACACACTTATCAGCTTATATTTATAACAGATCCAAGACACGGAACTGAGAATTGTACCTGTCGCTGTGCCTTACTGATACGTTTGATCCCTCGCGATTATGTTCATGGAGATGCTAACATGAAATGATAATCATAGGAAAATTTTATGCCCTATTTTTTAATGTACCCACTTGCATATTGCAAGTATGGATGATTTGTGCACAATGTAAATTTTGTAACAAGGCAGAAATGCTGGTGGAGAAATCTATAACGTTCTTTAGTAATGACAAGGTTCAATCACCAGATGGTCAGTCTTTTTCGCCTTTTGGTTTGATGCAGTGGGAGTTTCAGATGAATGTAAGTTTTCACATTGTACGAAAGTTCAATGACATATGCTCGAGACAAATAAGCCTCCAGGTTAGCGGGATCAAGTTTCATTTAATATTGGGTGTTAGACATCATGCATGTAGTTATTGCACATAAAATTTCCCTTTGAAAGTCGACCATAATCCACATATAATCTATTAGAAATATCAAATAAGATTATTAATTACGAAAAAATGCTCCAAAACATTAATGGTCGTTTGGCATGGCTTTTAAAATTAGTCCAATGTAACTTCCTCTAAAAACACTTTTAAAATATGAAGTATTTTTAAAAATTAGCCCATATTTGGGCTCATAAAAAATTTAACGCATTTTTTTCCTTTTTCTTTTGGACCATCTTCAATAAAATAATATTACATGTAAATTTAAATTTTTTTCTTTTTTTTAATCACAAATTATTATTGCAAAATACATTTTCCCCTAAAACCTATTAAAATGCAGCCAAAACAAGGAATTAGTTTTCAAACAAAAAATTAAGCCACGTTTGGCCCCATTTTCAAATTAAAATAGGTGAAATATTATTATTATTATTATTAAAATGAGTTGTTGAAAAAGAAGGAAAAGTTTTCAATTTATATGTAATATTATTTTATAGAAGATTGCGTGGTTAAAAATAGAAGAGAAAAAATAAAATTTAATTTAATGGAACTTCCTCCCATCTTGATTAATAACTCGTCACTTTTTTTGAGGGTTGAGAAGACTCTTGATTTGACGAAAACAACCTAATTTTTCTAACATTTTGGTACCAATAATTTCTTAAATTGTTGTAAAAGTATTGTATCTTTTTCTCATACTCATAGGAGTCGAATATTTTCTTTTAATCCTATTTAAGATTGGCCTAAACAGACATATACATAGAAATATTTTTGTTTATCTAATAAAGTTGAGGTATTTTTTTTTTAATATTAAAATTCACTTTTTTTGTATTACAAGGAGGTAGAATGACTTGAACATTGAAAATTTTGAAGAATTTTTTTTTTCAAGACATATAGAACAACGGAAATTAATGTTGAATATATTTTATTTAGACAATCAATAATTTGTGAGAGTCTCGAGTGCTTAGCTTTTTTAACGGGAGTTGCATTAAATCAATTTTCATATGGTAGACATAGTAACTTAACCTTATGACTATATATAATATTTAATTATGGTTACTTATTAATATATTCGATGTATTATTGCTATAGATTGAGAGCTATAAATAAGATATAAAAAAATATACCAAATTATTAATATTTTGAAATACTCTTTTCCAATTTTAAATTTCACAATAGCATTATTTTAAAATAGTTTAAAATAGTTATTTCAATAATTAAATTTAAAAAAATTAAAAATCTAACGTATAAAAATGGTCTAATTTGCGTCAAAGCATTTTTAGTACACGTGCCAAGAAACCAATCAATCCATATCCAAGACAAGACAAATACACCTCTTCAAAAATTCTCTAGAACAAATTGTAATTTATCAAAAATTTCTGTTTCTGGGTCTGTCTTTCTCTGTATGTGCGTCTATTTAACCCTTCTACTGTTGTACTAATTATTTATCATCGTTCTCTGATAAATTCTATCACGGGATGGAAGCTTCTTCATTGTTTTTCTGGCTTCGATCATGTTACTGACCATATATTCTTGCTAATCTCTGATTGAAAATTGATGCTTAAACATAGTTTGGTTTTTCTGCTAAAATATTTATCTGTTTGTATATGTTTGTGTGAGGTGCGTGGGGGATTCTTTATTTTATAGTTTAGGCAGTATAATTAATTGTTTTCTTGGAAAGTACTGAATTTGGGTTCAGTTTATATTGTTTTGAATTTGACATTGAATTATGGGTTTTGGGTTTGGAATACTTTTGCTGAAAATTTGGTATAAATGTAATTTAGGTGAAATGAAAAACGTATTCTGGTATCTTTGATCGTAAGGAACGTTCAAATGGCTTTTGATATCTTTCAAGAATCTTTTAAATCAATTAACAATTCACGTATCAAGGAATTATCCCAAATACATGGAAAGAGTTCTTACAAAGTTATCTTTTTTGTGCAGAGTTTTATTTGTGGAGATATTTATATCATAGCATATATAAAATTCGATTTTATATTAAATTAAGTGACAAAAGGGAATTCTATCCAAAGGTATTCTGCGCGGCCGTAACAAACAGCAAAAAAGTGCTTGCAGTTTTTGGCGGTTCAGAGAGTTAATTTGTTTTGTTCGATCGTAAAGAAAAAGTGATATACGTTTTCATTATTTGTTCCTGTTTGGTAAGTATTTACCTTATACGGTTTGCTGGAGTGATATGTAATCACTCCAATTATTTGTTTGTTACCAAGTTTTCACGTTTTCAGGAAAAAAAACACAATGCTAACCAGTACATACTCTCAAGATATTTAGTATATGCTTCAATTTTCTTACCAGGACGAATTTTTGTCCGTAGTCTATTTAGATTTTATTTAGGTCGATCAGTTATTGCTCTGATTTCTTTATTGTCCTTGATTGTTTCCTAAAAATAAATTTCTTTACTTTCCAGAATTGCAGATTGTTTTCTTAAGTGGGCATGTGTATTGGAGTTAATAATAGGACCATCCTCTTTTTAACATCATGAAGAGATATATCGCCAAAAGTTGATATCACAGTTCTAAATTATTTGAAAACCAAAAGCAAGGCAGACTTTTCTTTTGTTTTCCCAGACAAATCTACATCATGATGCCTAACTGTCCTTTATTTTAAACATTCAGGTGTTTTAGTTACCTGAGTATTAATGGGAGTTTCAGTAATAAGCATTGCCCTTTTGGTGACAAGGCTTACTGCTTTTGATCCTAATTAAATCTAAACTTGTTTTCTTATTGTCTTAACATCAGTTTGTAGCATTGATTGGGAGAGGATGCTCCTGGTATGTGTATTTGTCAATTTAAAATTTTATAAGAAATGAAATAAAAAGAGCATATAACTGAGACCTGGTCTGTAAAGAATGTATTTGAACTTCATAAAGTCGAGTAGGATATAATGAAATATAAGTGAACTCATTTTTAACAGATAGAAACATTTGTTCATGCTCGTCTAATGACTACTAGGGGCCAAATTGCTCAACAATTGAGATTCATATCGTGTGGATGTGCACATTTTATCCATAACTGGATAGTTCAACTAGTTAGTGAATATGTCATATATGCCTTTAGTATTCTTCTTCTTGTTACATTTTTATCTTATAATTTCCGTGAACTTTAAGCACAGTTTCTCTGTTATGTTTGCTGGAAGGATGTCAGGATCTTGATATGCTTTCTTGTTATTATGTTATACTAGAATTCATGCTGTGGAATCTGCCATTTTAGCTGTGTAACCAGCAGTTGCAGCTGCCAAGTGTATCATGAGACTTAGCCCCTTTTTGGTTTTGATTGAGCAAATTTTGATAAAAGTTGATGAATTGCTTGTTGTTGAAAGTTGATAAAGTGGTGAGTCTTATAAAATGTGTGGTTAAAATTAAATTTTGACATTTTTATCAACTTTTTTAGCTAAACTGAACAAGGGTTTAGGGACTTTCAGATATTTCACAATAATTTAATAAATACTTATATTATACGTCCGTAGTTGTTAGACATGTCCTCACCTACCAAGACTCATTCAAGAACACTAGACATATGGCAGAGTAGTAGTGCAAAGTTCTAAGATGCGTCCTTCTCAGCATTTGGCTGAATAATTACCAGTTAGTTACTTTGAATTTACTTGTGTACCATCTCACCACGTGATGGTCTTTTCATTACAAGATGCCTCTTTTCTGCAAGGAAATCACATCATATATGGTGAAAAATCTTATTGCTCTTGCGATAACTTGTTCTTTTGCTAGTCTCATTTCCATATGGACTTTTGCAGTGGAATAATAACTTCATTGTGGAACTTAGACAGAGTAGAGCTACGTGACATTAAAGAACTTTCTTGCTATGGATTTTAAAGGTATAGCATGGGCTGGAAATATATACCAGAAGTTTGAAGCTATGTGTTTGGATGTGGAAGAGGTTATGGTCCAGGTAAATATTCCTCTTTCTCATCTTTCTAACCTTACTCTGTAGGTGAGATCAAGGCCTAGCTCATGTAGTAAGACTGTAGCCTTACTAAGCCAGTGACGTAGGTTCGAGGGGGGGGGGGGGGGGGGGGGGGACCACTTTACTCTGCAGGTAATCCCCTCCTGCGTCAGAGCTTAAGGTTCCCTGATAGAGTTACCCAATAGAAAAAGGCTTCTTACACCCCAACTGTGTCAAACTTTCCACTATTGGATCGAATTTCATGCAACAATTAATGAAATGAACCCGTGATGGTTAAGTTCACATTTGAAATTGGAACAAGTGAGGAACAATCCATTTTTGTATCTCGCATCCCTTTGTTGGGGCCTGGGTTAACTTCTCTCTCTCATTTTCTATGTTCTTTTTTTTTTTTTTTTTTGGGAGATATTAGAGGGTGTTTAAGAGCCCAGATAAGTTGTTGGTACATTGCACATGGAAACTCTCATCACAAATGAGGTGGAATATATCATCCTTTTCAGAAGAGACATGTCCAAGTGCTCTTTCTCTGAGAAGTTACATGTCGGCCTATCTGTATTGTTTCACTCTCGTGTCCCATATCCCTATCCCTGCTTCCTAGATCTTCTTTTGCCTTCTATTATAAACACAAGCAATTGATGAAACTTTGCTTATGCACGTGCAAATTTTACAATATGTTATTAGCTGTGCTAGACTTGCCGTTACATTGACAGTATCACAGTTCCCTGCTATAAATACACTGTTTATAGTTTGGTCTTTCCCTTCTTTCTTCCTTAAGTAAGGTCCTTGGAGCTTATGTGAAGTTTTGGCCGACTCACATTATCCACATGATGATTTATAGGAACTATTAAGTTGCATATGGATTTGTTCAAACTGGTAGCTAATTTTGAAGGAAGGTCTTTATAAATGGATTTATATCTGATGTCATTTAATTCTGAAATTTAAATAGAATGGTTTGAAATATTTTTTTTTTCTCTATAAAACAATTAATCCAAGATTTTTCTTATCAAAAACTGTGTTATAAAAATCTGACTGTCGGTTCAACTGGGAACCATTCTAGATATCAGTCCGGTCCAAACCTGGGACATTTAGGAACTGCTAAAATTACCTAAGAACTGACTGGTTTGGTCCCAAAACTGGCCGGTTCATGCCAAGATTTGTTTTTATTTATATAATCAGCCTCAATCCTTGACTGTTGACCCTTTATGTTTTCCGAGTCAATGCCTGGGCTGGTTCTTAAAATAATGGTGAAAGTCCATCATTTTAAATAACTAAAAACTATATACATCACTAAATCGAAGCATTGCTGCAACCGATATCTATTTTTTTATTTTTAATACTTTTTTATTGACATACTTCAGTCGATAATGTGACTCGACAATTTTACTCACACGACAACATTGTTTATTACTCCTTCACAGGATACTATTAAATATGTGGAGAATCAGGTGCAAAAAGCCGGCATCAGTGTTAAGAAGTTCTATTCAGAAGTCATGCAAGATTTGATCCCTTCATCATGTGTGGAAGTAGCTGCCGATGAAATGTCTGTGTACCCTTATTCTCATACTGATATGAATAAAAACCTAAAACCAAGCTTATCAGAACACTGGGGAGAGTTTAAGAATAAAGCAACTGAGAATAAAGTGATTGATGACATAGACAAGTGGAAAAAGTCTCGAATAAGTGGGCTTGAAGATGTAAACCTTCTCTCTCCACTTTCTTCTGGATTTCTGGTCCGAAATGCATGCTCTGAGGTCTATTCAGCAAAAGGCAAGAAATTGGGAGTCTGTAAACGTCGTCCTGTTGGCATCCAAAGAACTTCTGAGAAAAATAATCCGCAAAAGATATCTGAACCAATGACTCCTGTATCTGCCATTAAGAATACATACGTGAGATCAAGTACAGATTTAGTCTCACTTGAAAAATGTGATTCAGTAGAAAAAGTGAATACAAATACACGGATCCTTGAGCCTCCAGTTGATTCCCCTGCTTCTAACACAAACTTACCAGCTGATCCTCTCAGGCAAAATGAAGAAGAATCTCAGTGTATTTCATCTTGTCATGATTTGCCCTCAGAATCTATTGGTATCTCTTGTGGATGAGTTTTAATGCCAATTCTTCTTACTTCCTCTATTAGCAGTATGAACATTTGTCCTTTGGTAGGTACATACATGAATGGTGGTAAAGTTCCTCAGTTAGGTTCAAATATTCCCGGTAATAACTTTGAATCTGGTGGCGAGGAGGTTATCACGTCTGATGAAGGTATGTGATTTTCTCTATTTTATAGATGGATAAAATAAAAGAGCCTTTTGTTGTCTCTCTCTCTGTCTCTGTCTCATATATATATTTTTTTATTATTATTTTTTTAATGACGATAGAAGTTACGACTTTTTTTTGTTAATCTTGGTAGTTCCCTTTTGCTCCAGTTAGTTAACCCTTTTAGCGAAACAATGAATTCATAAGAATTATGAACAATTTTAATGAGTTCAATATGGAACATTTTCGTTGTAAATTACTTAAAAGGAATGCATTTTCTTTAGGACAATGCCATTTGTACAATGATTTTTGACAATATTGTAGGTGTCAAAAAAGTATTGATTGGAAAGATTAATTATTTTTTAAACTGTCCAATAATAGGTCCAATGATAATATGCCATGTGGCATGTTGTCAACAATGTTGTAAAAAAGATTGTTCATGAAGCATTATTGTTTTCTTTTATAATCTCACCATTATTTCCTTACTCAAAACATAGTAGAAAATGGAAACCATTAGAAACTTTATGTTCCTATACTTTTGTTTGACATTTGACAGCATCTATAGTAATCAACACGGTAATGAATCATAATTCTTTGTCTCTGGTGGGAGGACGTACCAAAGTTACAATGGATGCATGAAGAAATGTGAACAATGCTAACAAGTCTAATAAGGAACTTTTTTGAGCCCAATTTCTGAAGGAACATGTTTTATTTTAAGAGTGTAGATGTTGTTCCTTCCCTCAGATGGAGTAGAAATGGAAACCAAATTTACAAATCTAGAAGTTATAGGCTTCTATACTTGCATTTGACATGTAACAGCACAAACAAATTGACACAGAAAAATATAAAGAAAAGACCCCAAAAGGGCTAGGATGCACCCGCAATCACAATCTGGTGACATCAGGATCTCAACTTTATCTTTCCTTCAGCCCAATTCTTTTTAAGATTGCGTTTTTCTTTTCTAGTCCTTTGTTGATGAAACTGCTATACTAAATTCAGATAACATTGATATGGAGGTCATTGAGAATGTGGAACTCGTTGAACCAGGAGTGGATAGCATTAAGCAGGTTACAACGTCAAAGTTGGAAGAGACGTGCGTTTTGGTGGAAGGAAATGAGCTTCATATTGTTCAACAAGGCACCGGCAAACACAAGTCATACAAGGTTCTCTCTCTCTCTCTCTCTCTCTCTCTCTCTCTCTCTCTGTATATATATTGTTTCTGACTGAGTAGTTTCTCTCAGAAAAAAATCCGTGAAGCTTTTTCGTCAAAACTGAGATCAAGAAAGAGACATGAGTATGACCAGTGCATTCCCCAGGCCGGACTTTTAGGTGGAACTGGAAGTACAGAAATCGTGATTCCTGATCTTACTCTGGATTTTGAGAAAATGAAATTACCGGCACAAGATTTTTCCGAATCCGATTGGGAATTTCTCTAGCTATTCTGCTACAAGTGATGCTGCCCCTGTGAGACAATGACTGGTAAATGAAGATGCCATCTTGATTTGTAAATAATGGCAGCCTAAATGTACTCTGTCAATATGGGAAATTGCGAATTGATGTTTGAAATTCAATATTCTATAATGCACATAAAATCCAAGTGTTAAAGTGGTTTATGGCCTGTTTAGTATTTGTAGTTTACATATATGTCACTCTCCTGGATAAGTTATAATTGAAAATTCAGGTTATTTGACTTTTTCTCTTCATCTTTTAGTAAGATTTAGCCATCAAGATATATTGTGGCCTATGTAAATTTCAGCTACTAAACATGTTTCGGCGAGCTATCCTTTTTTTTTTTTCCTTCCATTTTTTGAAGCAACTCTTACTTTACCTTAAAAACTCGAAATAAATTATAATTTTAACTCGAGTTATTATATTATATTTAAGGTTCTATAGATTGAGTTCGACTTGTCTTTACACGTCTACATGCAATTAGTTTGTCATTAAGGTTGCCACATTTTATCATTCAAACAGCTTTCATGGAATATATTTTTGAAAAGTTGATCACGTGATCATATTTTTCTTGAAAATAAGGAAAATATTTTCGTTAGGGAGTGATAGATTTTTTAGACAATTTACTCTCTCTCTCTCTTTTTCATCTACTTATAAACAGAAAATGGGTAAGTGTAACATTTTCTAGATTAAAAATGAAAATAATCAAACATATTTAATTAATAATTTTCATGGAATTATCATAATAAAACACATCCTTAGATTTATTATAAAATTAAACTTAATTTTGTTTATTAAAAAATTTAAAACTATTTTAGAAAACCTATTAATACCAAAAGATTTCTCTTCTACAGCCTACAGGACAACCGCTTTTAATGTAATTGGGAGCGTACATTTTCAAAAGATAAAATCTTAATATTAGAGGATTTAAAATTTATTACGTTATTCTTCTTAGCGCACAATTTTTATTTCTTAATAAATTAAAGAACTAGTAATTGTTTTCCTGACCATTTAATAAACTAGTCGATTAACAATAGTCGCCTAGATCGAATTAGATCACTTAGTGCAACAAATTAGATCGGATAACGATTAATTAGTTAGTTGAATAGTGATAGGCACAAATAATATCTCAATGAAATAATTCGGGTAGCATATCATTCATCGATCGAACTGAACTAACATAATCCACACAATGAGATGGATATTGACAGAATTGTCGATATTGTTGTGTATTATAGAGAAAAAAGGGTTGGATTGATTAAAAAATGAATTATATTAGATAAACTTCCTAGAGAAATTAGGTGGGGGTATGATTACGACAGTGTAAGCAATGGACAAACAATGTAGAATCGTGCTACAGAGCCAGAACTGCCGACAGACGGCTTGACAGAAGAGATACAGCTAAAGTGGTCGGCATTTTTTATTCATGACGGGACCCGCAACAACCAGGAGAGGGGTTCATCCTTTCTGGCAAATATTTTCGGGCAGTTCGGCATTACCCAACAATGTAAGAGCAAAACCATATGTACAGAGAAGTTCTTCACAAAACTCTTACAGAACAGACCCATGAAGTCGGTCCCATGCGGGACTCATGTATGATAAAAAACTGCAAAAAACGTCGACCTCCTCCCTTTGGGTGTAGTCTGTAAAGTTTCTGTAAGTGTCCATTCTGTACGTGTAGTGCGGTTGAACAATATAATTATATAGGAATACATTATCGATTACAGTGTTCGTCTAAACTGCGTGTGGAATGTGATATTTATTTATTGTACAATTTTATGACATATATGTTTTGGTTATGAAGTCTTAGAATTAAATTGCAATGTATTATGATTTAGAATTTGAACTTTACTAAATTTTATAGGAACTAATTGGCCATGTTAATTACACTACATACGTGGATATAATATATAGTATGATCATGAGAAACATATTTGTGTACAAGGTTGAATGGACCGTCGTGGGAGAATACATAATGAAGTTTTTACAAAATTTTTAACAAGATTAATGAACTATTACATAATGTTTTATAGCTCGTTGCAGTCCAGTGGGACTCAGTCTCATCATCATTTATCACAACTCAACTATTCTTGTGATACTCGATGGACCATCCAGTCTTGATTATCTGAAAAATAGAAGGAATCAGAGTGTGACTTTCACAACAACTCGTGAGAAAAACGTGGTGCAATGTGCAACTGATGCGTGCAATGATATGGACATCTTTGTGTGCCTTTTTTATTTTATTTTTTATTTTTTTATGATCATGCGTGTTCGGACCAGCTTATACGTATCTTGACTAATCTTACGAGACCCTGAAATTTACAGTCGGGTACTCATCTCAGTGGTCCTGAGGGAACTCGAACTGATGACCATTGTAGAGCAAACCTAAGACCTGATCACTGAACTATCCCTCAAGGTTTGGACATCTTTGTATACTAGAGCTCAAAAATATAAAGGTGACAAGTATCATAAAATAAAATGACCAATATTTTGTTGTACTCTCTCGGCTAGCCTTTATACAAACTCTATGCATTTACCAAGAGGTCGAGCTCTCACCCGTTATAAATTATTATGTAATAGTCCATTAATCTTGTTAAAATTTTTGTACAATAGTTGTTGTTAACAGGAAAAACGGATACTCATTTGGGGTGTATGTTGATGAAAGGGTGTATTAAACCTTATTTTCTAATATATTAATCTTTACGGCGTGGGCATTAACCTACAATGTAGAATTAATCGATACAAGTTAAGTCAAACTTCTCCGTGCTACAAACCATAAGGATTAATATTTTTAGTGTACGTCTTATGCTTTTTAGAATATCGAATTTCTTTTAGCTATTGCAAAATATTGATTGAGTGATTTTAAATAGGACATCTTGCATTTTTATTGATGGTATCATTTCATTATAGTTGTACCTAAAGAAGAATAATACTTAAATTCAACAAAAATAACACTATAAAACATGAATTCAAGATGTTTATCTTAGACTAACTTTATTAAGAGCCTGTATGAGCCACATTATAATGAGAATGAGAAATAGAGCCGTTATGAGCCCCACACCAGAGATAGAAATTCAAAAATGGTGGCTTAATGCGATGGATAACGGTCATATTTTTCATTTTAATGAGGTAAAAATGTGACTCAAACAGGGGGCTAAAAGTAATTCATTCAAACTTCATACGTGTGCACTAGAATAAAAGAGAAATTTGCATACTTTTATGGAATATTTATTTATTTTGCATTATCTGACTGGTTTTTAATTCACTTTTGCTTCCTAAAGGAGGTTCAACCTCAGATCAATGATCGAATAAAACTTCTATCTTACTACTTGAGTTATATTTTGATCTCAGCATTATATGGCTTTAAGTGACTCTACTTTATTTATTTATTTATTTTTAAATATTTTGTGCCAATTGATACTTAAATTTGTTTCTACCTATGATTTTGGATACTGCCATATCATCCGTTTGAAGCTCTCATAATTTGTTTTTTGATTATCCCATTGTTAATAAAAGTACGATTGTAACACTGTGTAAATGAGAAAAAATTAAAATTAAAAGTAAAAATGCGTTCCCAACAAAAGAAGATAGAACAAATAGAGAAAAAGCAAACATCGTATACCAATTTGATTTTATCAACAATGATAAGTTATTATGACAAATGTTAACAATTCTCTCAATGAAAATGATACCACTCAAAGAAATACAGGAATCAAGAAATTTCGTACAAGTGATCCTACAAGTGTATAAATAGGTAAAAGGTATAAGTGTCTTTATATTAAAGTAGGTATACATTTAACGATAGAAGTGATAGAAACAATTCAAAAGGACTTTCTGCACAAAAGTCAAAAGATCGAGCACGTTAGTGCTAAGAATGGAACATTATGGACCATTTGTGCCCATTTCCATTTTTGTTATTAACCATAAGGTAGGACAAAGTGCAAAACTCTCAATCTTTACTTGAGTAGGTGTCTTCAAACTCTCAACTGATCTTGATTGGAGAAATATTAGATTTCGAGATAGCAGGAGACCCACCTCTTTTCTTTAAAATTTATAGTGTTGTTCTCTACTACTTTCAAAATTAACTTCCATATTTATTAATCTTATTTTCCTTCGGATCTTGGTTTTATTTAACTTTTATCAACATTTATCAAGACTTTTCGATTCAATTTTCAGAAAAATAAATAGAATTTATGGACACCAAAACCCTATGTTGGACAACAAGCTTTGGACGCCACTTCAACTAATTATCCATAATTGATTTGGTTGCTTAATGCTTCAATCTTTCATTATTTATTCTATGTTAGGTAAATGCATCCAATTTCTATTATGACAGGCAGTCATCAAGTTTGGCATTTAGGAGGGCAAACGCAAATATAATTCCCAAATTACTTTTAGTTTCAAATCCTATTATTACATGTTATATAAGCTTTCATAATAGCTTTACAAGTGGGCTAGCCCTTAAAAAGAATAACTTAGACGACGCATATTAGACTTCTAGGAAAGGATCCAGGGGCGGATCCAAGATTTTTGCTAGGGAGGCTAGAATTTAAAAAATCAATTTAGTAAAATTTATATCTAAATAAGCCAGCAATGCAAATAAAATTCAATAATTTAATTTATATAAAATATTATCGATAGTAATTAGCAAATAAATAAAAAATAGTGGCATGGTGACAAATAAAGTACTTGTTTAGTAGAGTAAATTGAGGAACATGAATCTAAATATTAACAAGAAAACAATATAAAATGTAGGTTTTAAAATATCAAGTGGAGAATACAAATTCAATTGATTTAGCAAATTGACAACATTAAAAATATAAAAGAAACCACAAATAATATAATATAATTTAATGAATAATGGTTAATAACTTACAAATTCTTGATTTTCATTTTTTTATTACTATTATATGAAATTAAATCAAATAAATTCAAAAAATTTAAAAAGATAATCATTTTAAATCAATCGTACCCTCCAAACAAAAACAATTAATTATTCGGATATTGAATGATACCATACTCTTTAACAATTATTTTAGCAATTGATTGAGAATCAAGCAAACACTAATTAGAGAAAATTTATCGAAAGTTAAGCGTAGGCTTCAAGAACAATGATGTCAACTTGGGATAAATTAATTTAGAGTAAAGTTTGAGGGCCGTCTTGGAAGTTGCCAATATTCTTACGCTTTACGTGGGGAAGCTATTATCTTGATTCCAAGGACAAATAACTAAATATATAAGAGCATGCCCTACATTATCCCTATCACCATTGCAAAAGCCAAAGCTATCACTATTTTATTTGTTTTGTGTTTTTTTGGCAGTATATAATTTCTTTTTATACATTATCCACAATTGACTAATATTTCGATCGTTGCTCTAAGTTCTCCATTCACTAATGTATTTTAGATTTTTTCCCCATAAATAAATTGAATTATATACTCATAAGCAATATATAAATAATCAAACATTAGTAATTACATAAAATTTCACATATTCTTTGCTTTTGGTGCTTGAGTTCAAATCAGAAGTTCAATCGTAGAAAGTGGTATAGAACCACAATAAACTCCAAAAAACTAAAAAGGACTTCTTTCGGCATGATTTCCAATTTATGTAGCCATTGTTTTAAACTGCACTTTTTTATTATTTTTCGTGTCATAAGTTGATTGAACATGAATGTGTATCATGAGTCGATACATGCACGGCTCTTTTTCATATTACATGTATTCAATTTATTTTGATATGATCCATGTCACATCAAATTATATCGATTGACAGTTATTTAAAGTTTCGCTTCCAAAATTGTAAGGACAAAATCCATTTTGTTATCTTACACTGAATGTACAAATGAGAAGCTTATAGAGCTCTGACAAATGAGTCTCATGAAAGTCGGGCCCACGTGGGTCCCAATGTATTAAAAAATGGCCAAAAAAATGCTGACCCCACCATTGTGAGTAGTTTGTAAAACATCTGTGGGTTTTCTTTTCTGTACCTCCAGCTCGGTTCATTTTGTTATCTTACACTGTAGTTTAGCATGATTTTTAAATCATAAGGTAAGGTCCCAATCATTCAACTTTGATATTTCCACCAGTTTGGGGCAATTATTTTTTGTTATGAATATGATTCATACATTTCTCCACTTTACAGAGTGGAGACTAGTGACTTCGAAGATGACCTTAAAACAAGAATACTATAATCAATTTAATTCTTTTAATTAGGATTTTGATGTAAAGCTATTTTATTTAAAAATATAGTATTTATATATACTCATTCCTTTGCATCTCATTTTAATAAGGTATATCACTTCCACTTTCTTTCGGAGGCCCATAGATAATGCCTCAGACCAACCATTAGGTGCTAAATTACAAACCATTGCACACTTCGGACAACACTTCAAACATCAACGTCGCTCATGTCCACTAGTAGATCCCATTTTCTTGTAAAGAGGAAGCCATAATAGTGCTTCAATATATTCAACTTAACTATTTATAAAACTCGAACATGGAAAACTTACTTAAAAGCACATATTATGCTAGAATAATTCATTCAATAAAATTTAAACTTATCAGAAATAAAAAATGAATTTACTTTTATTTATATTCTCCAGAATCTTCTTATTCTTATTGATTATGTATGTTATTGATTCTGTTTTGGACATCTATAAAGTTGGTATCTTTATTCAATTTGACTTTTATCGATGATATTTAATTTGAAGAAGTGAGACAATGTTTTAACTATATTTCAGAATTATATCGTTTTCTGAAGTTTTTAAACTCTTGCTTTTAATAACTGTTCGCAATTTATCCGATTGGGTATTTATCAAGGCACGTGGAAGATGTCCATGCCACTACATGCTGTCGACCATTCTTCGTGTATTTTATTATTTCTGTCTTCTTCAATTTGTTAAGTGCTTGAAATGGTGTATGCTAACTAGCTCATTCAAGCTGTCAAACGTGGTATCACAAGACTCTTTGACTTGGATGTGATGAATAAGATGATCATTAAGTCAAAATTACAGCAAGAGTCGAACTTGTTTCCATAACGACGTAAGAGAACTTAATGCTTAATTCACATTCGTTCGAGATGAACTACAAGCATTTTGATCTAAGAGTACAGTTACTGTCATTAAAGATCAAGCCAAACTGTAAAACTCAAGCAAAACTACTATGCTTATCATCACATGAAAGTTGAACTATAAGCTTAACAAACTCCAATGAGATCAAAGGGTGCCCGATTCTTCGATGCCGCAACCTAAAGTTAAAATAGGATATTATTAACCAAGAATTCATGATATACTACTGAAGCGAATAAGATATGCAATGTTAAACTATGAAGGTTCATAATAGAATTAACAAATGCGTAAAGCACACCGCACAAATACCAAACCTACTTTGCATACTTTACAAAGCATTCCAAATTGTAAAGAATATATTACATTAAATACTTTACGAGAAAAATCACAATACAATAAAAAAGTTAAGATTTGGACAAACTTTTCTTGAAACTTACTGGCTACGGAAATGTTTAAATCAAAGGAGCTTCGAAAACAAAAGGAAAAGTGGAAAAGAACCTTTTGAACAACCCAAGTGTGCCCATGTAACACGTTGCAATTGCATAGACAAACTTGGTGACACTCATGGAATAAGTCTTGATAACACTAGGACGTGATATAACTAAACAATTATGATACTACACATGTAAAGCAACTAATAAACCAAATTTATAAAATATAAAAAATAAAAATAAACCACAAATTTCACATAATAAATATTATCATGTATCGAATAAATTCTCAACTGGATCATTATTTTTTGGATTATGCTATGTGTATACCTCTGTTGTATACAATCCTTTACACCCCCCTCATATGGAGGGAGGTTTACGTATAATAAATTATTTGTAGGCCCCCCTCAAAGTATGAGGGATGTCATGCTGTGTGTATACGAAAAGTGTACACAGAGCATAATCCTTATTTTTTTGGGCATCGAATGCTTACATCCAAAATTTCTCGTATGATCAAATTTTTATGAGTTTTTGAGCCAATTGACAATAACATTATGTGATTGATTTTAATTTTACTGAAGTTAATATTTGATTATTCATTATATTCTTCAGGATTAATTAATCATGTGGGTAAATGTTCGAAGCATCTTTTATATATATATATATATATAGAGAGAGAGAGAGAGAGAGAGAGAGAGACCATTTGTTTGAATGGAAAAAAAGAATCAATTCAACCCCATATGCTACGGTAACCCAATAATACATTCTCTCTTTAGCACGCAAGTTTGTTTGTACATTTTGCATTATATAAAGCATTTATCATACAAGTACATACTTCACAAGTTCAAAAGTATATTGTCCCTTTACTTAAATTTTTCCTGGATCCGAATCCAAGAAATGGTGTTTCTGTTGAAACCCCTGTTCCTCTCCGCTGCCTTCTTGTTTTTACTACACCTTATAACGGCTGAGCACGAGGCCGAGCTCGGCATTAATTCGACCAGCGCCACCGCTCGTAAGCTTGCTAGTGGCTGCAATATTTTTCGAGGCAAATGGGTTTATGATGCCTCATATCCTCTTTATGATTTCTCAAAGTGTCCCTTCATAGATGATCAATTCAATTGCCAAAAGTTTAAAAGACCTGATCAAACCTATCTCAAATATAGATGGCAGCCTTTCTCGTGTAACCTCCAAAGGTGAGAAAACTTCATTGGGACGGTCCTATATACACACATAACACACTGGTTATGTGTATTTGTTTATATATTTTAATTGGGTTGTGTTGCAGGTTTAATGGGGTGAAATTCTTGGAGAGATGGAGAGGGAAGAAAATAATGTTTGTAGGTGACTCACTGAGTCAGAACATGTGGCTGTCATTGAGTTGCATGATTCATTCATGGGTACCAAATTCTAGAACTGCAGTCGTAAGAGGAGAAGTAATTTCTGGAGTTACATTCCTGGTAAGTTTCAATTACAATTCTTGCCATGCACTTTTCACATTTTTTGGCTTGGTAGGTGGGATGGGGTTGGCCATGGGTTGAACTACAAATTAAATTTAGCTCCCGATTTGGATAGAAAAATCAGATTTTTTAAGTAGATTTCGATAAAAATTGATGAAATATGTGATTAAAAAGTCTTGTGTTCAATGGAATATGCGACTTTTCTGAAAGTTAAACACTTACTTTTATCAAGTTGCTAACTGGCAGACATTTAGAAGGCTGCACTATTCTCAATTATAATTGCTTTTCCCTTTTTACTTTTACGTGGAAAAATTGTATCAAACATCAAGAAGAGTAGCTTATAAAGTGATTTGAAGTGCTACTCATCAAACTTTCTTTTTTATTCGAAATGAGAAGTGAAATTTACTCAATAATCGATGTAGAGATCTTTCTAGTCAAATATTTCATTAAAATAATTAACAAAATTTAATTGAATGAGAAAATTGTAACAAAAGTCAAGCTTCAACGATCATTTTCAATTAAATTGAATTTGGATAACTAATTATAAGTTGATTGACTAATGAGGTTTTTGATCACTATATTATGTCGTTTGAATCTGCATCTATACTTCTAATATATTGAATCATACAGATTTGAAGTGCTACTCATATATTTTTTAAATTTTCTCGTTCTTATTTCGAATAATGTGTACACTCATTTTGACAATCCACTCATGCGAGTGGGCCTTCAATTATTTTAATCGTGAGGTCCACTCGTGTGATGTAAAAGGACCGTAAAAAATGATGTAAAAAGTGTTGTATATGTAGGCTTGTAGCATTCTCCTAAATTTTCTTTGCGTAGTTTATAATTGGAAAAAGCATAATCTGATTGGCTCTTCTAGAAAT